GCATGTTTGGGGGGAAAACAATGTTAGATTTAAATAAAATCTTAAAGGATAATTAGAACATATCCTTCTACAGTAACAGGGACCAGAAAGATCATTGTGATTTTAATCATTTACTTGTTTTAAATGGAAACTCATAAAACAACTTAAAGACCAAATGTGTACAGTTAAGTATTATTGGCATATAATAATGATATTCAACTAGGTTTTCATTTCTTAGCATGGTCTGTCATGTTCTCCGTAACCTAGCCCCATCTCACTGCCCGGCCTCATCTGTTTCAAATCCCAGGTACCAGCCACTTCCTAGCGATCTGCTTGAACATACCAGATTTTCATACCTTTGTGTGACTCTCTGGTTCTGGCAGGTCTCCTTTCCATCAAGAAAATTCTCTTCCAGATTCTTCAAGTCCCAGCCAGAGCACTGTGCCCACTATGCCCAAAACTTGTCTCCATTCTCAATCCTGAATGAACTGTCACCTTTTTCCATCGTTCAATAGCACACTATGGATGTTACTGTCATTTATATCTTGTTCTATAGATATTTGTAAATACACTTGTGTTTCCCATTAGACTAAAAAGACCATCCTGTTCCTTTTGGGGGCTCAATTTTAAGATATAGTTCAATCCTACTGAGTATACTTTGGTATCTACAAAGGACCTTCAAAAAAAAAAACCTTTTTCCAAAGGAAAAGTTCAATGGTTCAAAATATATACTTTTTTTTCAATCTTTAGTTAAAATTCAAGTCACTAGATAATACTTTCTTGAAAAGCCACAACTACACAAGAGAGACATCACTTCTCTTTTTCTTTTTTTTAAGAGGTTTTTGCCTTAAGGTATGTGTGCTCGCTGGTGAGAGAGAGACGGTGAGAGGGAGGGTGAGAGATCACCCCCCAGGAGGGATGGCCACACTGTAATCCCTTCTCCTGAACCTCCTTTCCGGACCTTGGGCACACATGCACATACACCTGACATGATTTCAAGCCACTGGGTCCAGGACTCAAACACTAGTTGGCCATGTGGGAATCCAGCGACATAACTGCTAAGCCATCTGCTGGCCCTGAGAGACATCAGTTCTTTTTACCTTCCTCTAGGCCTTCTATATCAAATTGCATTCTGTGAATTCAATTCCAGACATTTCACTTCAGAAAAAGACTACAAAAACTGAGGATTCGATCCTTGCACACTGTTGGGGAGGGTAAGAATTAGGTACAGCCATGATGAACAGCAGTATGGAGTTTCTTCAAAAATTAAAACGTGAACTACTCTATGATCTAGCACCTGCCAGGTAAGTATCAGGAAAGGAAATCAGTATGTGGAAGAGAGAGCTGCACCCCCATTACTCACAACAGCCAAGATACGGATTCAGCCTAAGTGCTCATGAAAAGAATGGGTAAAGAAAATGTGATATCTAGACACTACCTTTAAAAGGAAAGAAATCCTGTCAGTTGTGACAGCACGGATAAACCTGAAAGATACTATGTTGAGTGAAATAAACCAGGCACAGAAAGACAAATACTGCAATGATCTCATTTATATGTGAGATCTTTAAAACGTTGATCTTATAGAGAGTGGAATGGTGGTTGCCAGCGATGGGGAGAGGGGAGAGTGGGGAGATGTAAGTCAAAGGACACAAAATTTCAGTTAGATAGGATTAAGTTCAAGAGTTCTGTCGTACAAATGGTGACTACAGTTAATAACAACGTATTGTATTTTGAAAAGAGAGTAGATTTTAAGTATTCTCTCCATACAAAAATTACAAAGAAGTGAGATGATAACGCATGTGTTAATTAGCTCAATGTTTACATATTTTAAAACATGTTGTACGTCATAAAATATATACAGTTTTCACTTATCAAGTAAATAAATAGGGACTACAAAAGATTGGGGTGAGGAAGTAAAACTTAAAAAGCCAAGCATATCTACTTGTCATTCGGAGCTCTAGTTTTATGGCCAGATCTACCCACTTTCATGATAAAGATGCAAACACCAACCAGTGCATGCCACCACCACCATCACCACCACCACCTTTTCAGAGTCGAAGCCAGAGCCAGAAAGATCTCCTAACGCCCTGATCTACCTCCCCATCGTTCTTGCCCTTTCCAATAGCCATCCTACAGTTATGAAGGGTTCTTTTTATCCCATTGCCCGCACGCAAAAGGGAAGGACCCAAAGGTAGTTCTCGGGTGGTCAGTGGTGCTGAAAGTATGCATGGGTACAAAACTGGGGATTAAACACCAAGTTATTACCTCATGCTTCTGAGAATATTTGTCTAAACAACAAAAAATTATAACGATGTGACTGGCAGGAATACAGGTACTAACCATGTTATCTGAATTTATATATTATTTTTAAAACGGTGTAATCATACAATGAATAATCAGTTTTTTCAATTCCAAATTTTCTCTGGTTTCCTCAGTCAGCTGCCTACACCAACCTGAAGAATCCTCAGAGAAGCCAACCCTAATTCAAGATTTTTAATGTAGCCAAACGGTGGCCCAGAGATTTTAAAAACACTATATATATAAAGTAACTTGCTATACAAATAATTTATTTCATGTAAATCCTGCCTGAACTTCCGGGACAGTTCGCGCTGGATAGACCTGTCATTCCAAGAACAAAATACAACGCTGGTTTGCTTCCCATGGCCAAGTTGTTAAATGGTTGCCAGCCTACTGAAAAGCCTCTGAGTCATGCAGAAGCCAAGGCAGGTGGCTGGAGTGAGCCGACCCAGGCGTTAAACACCAAGACCTCACAGGTTCCTGCTCTGCTCTGCGTCCAGGGGCCCGCGGCGCCCCTGCCTCTCACGGTGGTGGCAAACGCTGGGCTCTGGCGCTCACCCCGAGGGAACCAGGTGGTGCTGAATCTGCGCGGCGCTGCTCGGCAGGCAGCTCAGAAGCTCTCAGGGCACCCCGACCCCAACCCTCCCGGGGACACCTGCTCCCAGCTAGGGCGGTTGGAGGCCTGGAGGCCCTCCGGGAAACTGCACCCTACCCCGGGTCGCACACGCCCCTCCCAGCTCGGCGTCCAGCGACCCCAGCAGCTATCTTGGGAGTCCGGAGATCTCAGCCATGAGCCCCACCGGGGTCACCATTCTCCACCCCAGAACCTCTTCTCTTTCTCTTCCAATTTCAGGCAAAATGCCGCCCTCAGCTTGCCGGGGAAACCTGCCCACCGAGGAGAAGCACTCCATGCAAAGAAGGTGGTAGAGGGGTGAGCGCGAGCACACCGCGGACACACTCAGCCCGCAGCTAACACCCCGAACAAGAAACTGGCTC